TACCTACTATGATTTTTTTTTTTTGAGTTAGGGTCTTACTCTGTCACCCAGGCTGGAGTGCAGTGGCACAATCATGGCTCACTGCAGCCTCGACCTCCTGGACTCAGGGAATCCTTCTGCTTCAGTTTCCCGAGTTACTGGGACTACAGGCACATGCCACCACTCCCAGCCAATTTTTTGACTTTTTGTAGAGACAAAGTCTCACTGTGTTGTTGAAGCTGGTGTCTAACTCCTGGGCTCAAGTGATCCTCCCACCTTGGCCTCCCAAAGTGCTAAGAGTACAGGCATGAGCCACTGCATCTGACCCATTCTGATTCTTAATCTCTTGGGGTGTTATTTCTGAAAGCTTCTTAGGTCTTTATTTTTCCCCCAGCACGCTGAAATCTCTCAATTATATGCTTTGATGTGAGTCTGTTTTTGTCTGTTTTACTGAGTACTTATTGGGATCTCAGACTATAACCGTATAAGAAAAATCTAAAAAAATTTTTATTTAATTTCATCCCATCTGTTTTCTCTATTCTCTTTGTTTTTTGGTGGAGGGGGGGATTGGAGTCTCACTCTGTTGCCCAGACTGGAGTGCAGTGGCATGCTCACAGTCACCACAGCCTCAACCTGCTGGGCTCAGGCGATCCTTCCACCTCAGCCTTCAAATAGTTGGAACCGCAGGTGCACACATCCAGCTAATTTTTTAATTTATTGTAGAGATGAGGTCTCGCCAAGTTGGCCAGGCTGTTCTTGAACCCTTGGGTCAAGCAGTCCTCTTGCCTCAGTCTCCCAAAGTACTGGGCTTACAGGCATGAGCCACCATGCCCAGCTTCTATTCTCTTTCTAGAACTCCTTTTATCAGCTATTGGACCTCCTAGATCAGTCCTTTGGTTTTCTTTCATCTTCTTCCTTTTTTCTTTTTCTTTTCTTTTTTTTTTTTTTTTTTTTTGAGTTGGAGTCTCACTCTGTCACCCAGATGGGAGTACAGTGGCCGCTTCCGGCCACCGCAGCCTCAACCTGCTGGGCTCCGGCGAGCCTTCGCCTCAGCCTTCCGAGTAGTCGGAACTACAGGCGTGCGCTACCATGCCTAGCTCATTTTTTATTTATTGTAGAGACGAGGTCTGACCAAGTTGCCCGGACGGGTCTCAAACCCACAGACTCAGGCAATCCACTCACCTTGGCCTCTTAAAGTGCTGAGATTACAGGCTGAGCCACCAAGCGCGGCTGTCTTTTCTTTTTTTCTTTTTCTTTTTCTTTTTTTAGTTGGAGTCTCACTCTGTTGCCTGGGCAGGAGTACAGTTGCATGCTCATGTCCACCACAGCCTTGACCTTCTAGGTTCGGGTGATCCTTCTGCCTTAGCCTTCTAAGTTGCAGGAACTACAGGTGCATGCCACCATACCTGGCTATTTTTTGATTTATTGTAGAGACAAGCTCTCATCAAGTTGCCCAGGCTGGTAATGAATGCTGGGCTCAGGCAGTCCTCTCGCCTCTGCCTTCCAAAGTGCTGAGATTACAGGCGTGAGTCATCGCACCCAGGCTGTTTATCTCTTTGCTCTGCTTTCTGGGAGGGTTTCTCGTCTTTAGCTTCCAACCTTTCTTTTGAGTTTTTATAATTTTCAGGGGCTCTCTTTTTTGTTGTTGTTCTCTGATGCTCTGCTTTTTTTAAACATCCCATTCTTGTTCATGGGTTTAAGCAATAAGGAAATATGTTTTGATATTGCCAAATTGCCCTCCCAAGTGGCCGTACCAATTCATAGTCCCACTATCAAAATATGAGGATTCTCTTCTCTCTCCATTCTTTCCAACACTTGGCATCACGGGTGATTGACTTTTCCAATTCAGGCCTTCTTCATGTAACTATCTGTTGAGCACCTCTTGCGTGCTGACCACTCAGAAACAAAAGTGAACACAATGTCATCCTGTCTTCTAAGGGCTTGTATTCTAAAAGGGGAGACAGACGTGTTAATAGAAATTTGCAGTAAGAGGGAGAAATGGCACAGAGATAGACCAAAAAGGGAATGTTCTTTCAACCTGATTCTGATCCTTAGATTTTTGATTGCCAGGGATCAGGTGTGTCACACTCCTTAATGTCTCACCACCCACCTGCTTTTGGTCCCCAAGAGCACAGTATTGCCCTCCTGAATCTTTGGAAAGATTCAACAAATATTCAGTACCACTTGTGCCAAATCTACTGAACTAAAGATGTTCCTCCCACTCGGTTATGTAACTTTGCATTTCCAGTGAAGATATTAATTTAATCTGTGTTCCTGCTGGTTTATCCTGGCAAGACTGAAGGTGAGGTACTTTTGTTTGTTTGGGTGATTCAGGCTGTTAATCTGTGTTTTGCATGCTTGCTTCTCTCTTGCCATGATCCTCCTTGAGTGAAGCTTGGTGATTTGATGTTTTGATTTTTGGCTTCCCATGCTGTAAGGAGTCATTCGTATTACTAATTTTTATTTTAGCTCTGTTAATGGTGTCATTGTAGGTTTATTTGTTTTTAATCCCTTTTTCTTTTCTCACTCTGTCACCCAGGCTGGAGTGCAGTGGCGTACTCACAGCCACCACAGTCTCAACCTTCTGGGCTCAGGTGATCCTTCTTCCTCAGCCTTTCAAGTAGCTGGAACGACAGGCATGTGCCACCATGCCTGGCTAATTTTTTTATTTATTGTAGAGATGAGGTCTCACCAAGTTGCCCAGGATAATCTTGAACCCCTGTGCTCAGTCCATCCTCTCACTTCAGCCTCCCAAAGTGCTAGGATTACAGGCATGAGCCTCCATACCCAGCAAGTTCCTTTTTCTTTAGAAGTGCTTACTAAACTGTTAACTAAAATGAAATGATATGTCTGAGATTTGATTCAGAATAAAAAGTGGTGGAGGGGAAGTGGGGGTAGGGAGTAGATGGCACAAGATTGGCCATGAGTTGGCACGTTGTTGAAGCTGGGTAAGAATACATGAGGATGTATTATACTCTTCTGTCTGTTTTTTTTTTTTTTTTTTTTTTAGTTTGAGTTCTCCAATAAAAAGTTTAAAAAGACCCATCATCATCACCTCTGGACACCTCCAGTCTGAAATGAGCCTTTGGTCCTCTTTTCACACCTTCTTTCCACTCGCCAACAGAGGGCAGTAGGTCCTAGAACCTGCAGCAGAGATTTTCTTGTGGCTCTGGACATGTAGTGCTTGCTTCTCCTCTATCGATGCCACATTGGGTTGTGTAAGCCCAGAGTGATGGCATGTATGCAACCTTGCACTGAGGTGGCAGAAACTGAAAGTGATGAACAGCCCTTCAGACTCTGTGGGTTTACCTGCGTTGTGCCCAGCTTCTCTGTGTGTGGTGGCTGTGGGCTGTGACAAAGGCTGCCTGGGGTTTGTGAGTCCCAGAAACTAGCGTTCTAATTACAATTTAACCACGATGACTTGGGCAAGGTTTTCTGAGTTTTAATTTTATAAGTATGTCTACCCTACCAGATTGTAAAGATTTTTATTTTATTTTATTTTAGATTCAAGGAACACATGTGCGTGTTTGCTATAGGGTATATTGCATACTGGGGGAGATTGGGCTTCTCCTGTACCCATTATCCACATGGTGAGCACTGTACCTGATGGGTAATTTTTCAGCCCTCGAAGGTTTTATCTTAAGACGTAAAAGCATCTAGCACTGTGCCTGAACTTTCCTCTTTTAGTATCATTACCTAGAACTTTCCTGATCTTTCTTTAAAATAAAAGCCTCTTTACCCTGACATGTTCAAGTGGTGTTAGCCCCTTACCTAGGTCTCTAATTGAAATAAACTAGCAGTGGTAGACCCTGAGTGGCTGGCACACCCACAGCAAGCCTCAGAGCCTCTGTCCTGCACCTTGTTCTCTACAAGTCCTTTTGTTGTAGTCACGGCTCCCTCTGTTCTGCCTTGCTTTTTGCCGTGTCCTTCTCCTGACATTTCCAAAACTCTACCTTTATTCAGGTTTTCAGCCAGCTAATATATTATCTGAAGGATGAGAAAACCCCAGCATATTGGCCTAGTTTTTATTCCTTTATTGCCATTCTTACTCCTCCCCTATGCAACCTCCTACTCATAACTAATGTAAGCTTGGGTCAGAAGATATGGATTCAAGGCTCTAGTTGTTCATTTCTTCATTCTTTAACTTTGGTATGTGGTTTAATCTCTTCTGTGAAGTAGTGGGAATACTAATACCTAATTCACAAGGTGTTTCTGAGGCTTAAACAAGAGTGTCCAGTATGTTACCCAGCAGGTGGTTTATGAACTTGGATGAGTCTAGGTCTGAATATCACTGTATTCCTGGAAAAGAGGGAAGCCAGGCATCTATAAATGCCTCAGAGGATTGCCCTTCCTTGTAAACTGTGGTAGATAACACTCGGCGTGTTCTCACGCAGTCTGTCACTCTGTCTTTATTAGTTCCCTTGAAATTCCCTGACCATCACATACACTCACGTTCAAATGTGAGTAGAGTATTGCTTCCAAAACCAGATGCTATTTTTATTTTCCTTTAATCTGAAAGTTGATTATTTGGAAAATCATATTGACTTCTCTTAGACTGCGCTGTTAGTAGAATAATGTAGTTCTCATCAGGGAGCAGATCAGCAACTGAAGCCAGCCAAAGACTGTTAGCCTCCTAACACTTGCCTCTCCTCCTTTCATGGTAACAGTGGATGGCATCACATCTCAGATTGGTAACAAAAGACCAGCTGAGTAAACTGTCATATGGTGAGCAACAGCCTTTATAGAGTTTCTAACCTGATTGGAGAGAAGCAGAGCTATCTGAGTACTCTGGTGTGGGAACAGGTAGGTGAGAAGTGGGGGAGTTTAGTGATTAGACTGAGAGATAGCAGGAACCAGACAAAGAAAGGCCTTAAAAGCCATGTTAGGGAATTCAGAGTTCTTTTGAGGGTAGAGGGAGGCCACTGTAGGATTGTAGAAAGGCCATTCTAACTAGAGAACAGAGAACAAATGAAGGGAGATAAAGCTATTGCTAGGGAGACCAATTAGATACGCTGCAGCCAGCGAGGTAAAAGCCTGCCTGAACAGACAGAAGTACAGGCAGAAGAGAGTCGGCCGTATTTAGGAGGGAATGACCAGGTCTTGGTAGCAGAAGGAATATGGGAAGAAAACAAAGCCAACTCCCAGGTTTCTGCTTGGGAAGCAGGGGAGCTATTCCCTGAGGTGAGGGAGGTTGGGTGAGGATGGTGAGTTTAATTTTTGAAATCTAACTTTCTTTTTTCCCACCTGACTTTCTGGTCAATCAGAATGAACTCTGGGGCAAATACACATTTACCTCTCTAGCTTCAAAAGATTCAGCTGAATTAACAAGACAGGTTTAGTCTTGTTCCTGAAAGGATTCTGGCATGCCTCCTTTGATCGTTACCAGTCCTTTCCTGGAACAGAGTGGATTATTCATTGTCCGCTCCTTCTGATCTCTTACAACTAAAACATTTCTTCCATTTTTTGGTACTTATATATTTAAATAAAAAGAACTTATAATAATATTCAAGATTTTTCTGGTAGTTTGCTTATCACTTAAGCCTGAAAATTCTTAAGGTAAGTTTTGCTTCTGCCTCAGAAGAGGTTTTCTTTGTAGATATGTCTAACTGTGGTTGGAAATTCATTGAAAGAATGTTTTGGGGATTACTAATTTTATCTCCTGGAGGTCTGAAATATAAAATTATAAGAAGATAGACGGCCGGGCTCGATGGCTCAGCCTGTAATCCTACCCTTTGAGAGGCCAAGGTGAGTGGATTGCCTGAGTCCACGGGTTCAAGACCCGCCTGGGCAACATGGCGAGACCTCATTTCTACAATAAATCAAAAATTAACCGGGCGTGGTAAGCGCGCACCTGTAGTTCCGGCTACTTGGAAGGCTGAGGCGGAAAGGATCGCCGGAGCCCAGCAGGTCGAGGCCACGGTGGCCGGGAGCGGCCACTGCACTCCAGTCTGAGTGACTGAGTGAGACTCCAACTCGAAAAAAAAAAAAAGAAGACAGAAACCTTGCACAGCCTAGTCACATCTCTGTCTTACATTGTTTCCTGGAGAATTTTGTCTGTCATAGTCCCATCTGTTTAAGGTCCACAGGGAGTTCACCATGTTACGTGTGATTAGCTTTGCTGTAGGTCATGTGAAACAAGCTGGACATCAGCTGAAGAAAAACCTGAGGAGCCATATACTGAAGTAGGTTCCTGCCTGCTTCTGAAACAAAATGCTGATGTTAGATACTAACTGGAGTTCATGATAACTAGCTTCTGGTAAACAAGGACCCCTCTAAAAGAGGTGCATCTAAAGAGATGTTGCATCTTATCTATTGGGGAAGTAGCAAAGATGACAATGATGGGAAGACACTGTCAAGTTTCTTTTAGCAGGCTGTCTTCCCTCAAAGGGAGCACATTCCAAATGGGCTCTAGGATGTGCAGAATTCTTACATCACCATACTTTTCTTTAAAAAGGAAGCAGAAGCAAAGAGTAAACTTAATATAGGCCAAATAGAAGTCTGGGTTGTGTACTCTGCGAGGGCAGAGACAATAACTGTTGCTCATTCTGGTGTCCCCAACAACTAGCTTAGAGTCTTGCTTACATAGGTGCTCCATAAATACTTGATCAGTGCATGACTGAATGAATGAAATATTCTAAATCTTCTGGTAGTAGACAGAAAGTGCACAAATCATAAGTGGTAAATTTTCACAAAGTATCACCTCGTGGACCTAATGCCCATATGGAGAAATACAGCCATGCCAGTTGCCCAGCTCCCTCCTTCACCGGTCACAGGCACGGCTCCTCCAGGAGTAAGCGCCAGCCTGACTCCCAATGCCATGGTTCTGTTTTGCCCATTTGGGGCAAATATGTCCTCTCTTCTGTCTTTCCTTATAGCATCCTCATAGCATCAGTGAGAGCGATCATGTTATTGGGAGTAGCAGTAGTTTATTTCTTCTCAGTACAGTATTCTGTTTTACAAACATACCACAGTTTATCCACTCTCCGATGGATGGATACTTGGGACTATTGCAGCAGAAGTGCTGCTGCGACAGTTTTTGTACCTGTCTTTCCGTGAGCGTACACGTGCATTTCTGTCAAGTGTGTGCTTATGGGCAGAATTCCTGGATCATAAAGCTTGTGATTGTTCAGCTTTAAGATACCACCACACAACTGGCCAGTATTCCACTTCCACTTGCAGAGCTCCTGTTGTAGCACCTGGCCAGGACCTGATAGATTGTGTCTTTTTCATTTTAGACACTGCTAGGTGAACCTTGGCATCGTGTCAGGGTTTTAATTTACATTGTCCTGAGACTAAGGAGGTTGAGCATTTTCTAGATGTGTTTGTTTACATATCCTCTTTTGTGAAGTTATCTGTTTAGTCTTTTGCTCATTTTTCTACTGAGCTGTCTGCCTTTTTCATACGAAATACCCTATGTAGTCTGGGTGCGTGTCCTTTGTTGGAGATATGTAATGCAAAAATCCTCTACTCTGGGGGCTGCTGTTTCACTCGCTTAACGGGGTCTTTTCGTGAAAAGAATCACTTAATTTTGCGAGGTCTGGTTTATGCATTTTACCTTTTATAGTTAGCAGATTTTTGTGTCCTGTTTTGGAAATTTTTGCCTATTTGAAATGTATGAAGTTTAAGTCTCCCACCTTTGTTGAAGTTAGAATATTAAGGGAGAAAGGACCCTTCAGTCTAATCTGTTGTTCCTTATCCTGCTGCAAATCCAGGATCCCTGTGAAAACCTCACTGAGACTCTGGACAATACTGAAACTCTGTGCAATACGCACATCACAGCAGATTTTCCTGCCGTTCCAGGGAGCGCCCATACTGACTTTCAAGCCTATCCGTGGACCCTTGGTTAGAGAGCCCCTAATCTAATCCAGCCCAGTCAATTTGCAGATGAGGAAATTGAGCCCAGGGAGGGAAGGGAGTCACACTGTCAGTTTGCAGCCCAGCTGGGATTAGAATCCAGGTCTGTTGACTCCTATCCCGGTGCTCTTTCTCACAGAATTCCCTGCTGCAGTCTTTGAGACTGTCTCGCAGGCAGCACTATCAAAGGGAGAGTGTTTTCAGCCCAGGGAGGTCCCTGTCCACGAGCGGCAAAAAGTGACTACATGGTGACACTCGTCTGCTTTATGCATTGGCCTTAAATGTTTACGCTCCAAGGAGTCTATGACTGAATGCTTTGAAACTGAGCTGGGAGTTATCACGGTCTGTGCATTTTCCTCTAGCTGTGACTCAGCACCCTGGGGTTGCTGTGCTGAATCTTACCGTGTGCAATTACCTGTATTCTGCTTGGTCTTTTGGTGGGTTCTTGCTGGAATTTTTAAAAGCACCTTACGTAATAAGTTTCCAGTCTCAATGCTCGAGTGGGTGAGGCTTTCCAGAATGGTTGCTCCAGGGAGAAAATTAAAAGGGGTGGAGGCAGGGAAAGGAACTCTGAGTTTCTTGACTAGGTTATGTCAGGTTAGAAGTAGTCAGCCAGTAGACAAGCCAAGCCAGAGTATCTAGAAGTATTTGTTAATGATTTTACTGCTACCTTGCCACTGTCTGCAGTAACCTCTTCAAAGGCTCTAGATGGACTAGGCAGTTTACAGGTAACAGGGTCAGATATTTTCAAGAGATCACTCAACCCATACCAGGTGCCTCCAGAACTAATCCTGTTACCTTGTCAGCATCTTCACCAGAGTGTACCCACCAGGGGTGTACGTATCAGACTCAGCACAGATTCCAGTTTGCCTCTCAAAATGAAAAAGACTGTTCAGATCTTTGGGCCACACCCTGAAACGGACTAAATGATCTCACTCTCAACATAAAGGAAGTTGAGTCCGTAACAACGTCCTGACAGACAACATTCCATGTATTTTCTTCTTTCCCCTAATCCCCCAGAGAGCCTCTTCTTTGTTTTCATCTCATACCCGAGACTAAGTAGGTAGGGGTGCTGGAGGGCCAGTATCTGAATGAGGTGCATTTGTCCATTTACTGAGCACCTACCATATGCTAGGTACTGTACTAGGTGATGGGAAACAAAGATGAAGGACCTGGTCGCTGTCTTGAGGGAGCTCCCTGTCGAGACAGTTGCACCAGTGAGCACAGGTGTGGTGGTGCCAGCCTGGGGTCTAGGGAGGCACTCCTAGAAAAGAAATCTGAGGCCGGGTTCGGTGGCTCAGCCTGTAGTCCCACGCCTTTGGGAGGCTGAGATGAGTGGATTGCCTGAGCCTGCAGGTTTGAGACCCGCCTGGGCAACTTGGCAAGACCTCATCTCTACAATAAATCAAAAATTAGCCGGGCGTGGTAGCGCATGCCTGTAGTTCCAGCTACTTGGAAGGCTGAGGCGGAAGGATCACCGGAGCCCAGCAGGTCAAGGCTGCAGTGGCCGGGAGCGGCCACTGCCCTCCAGTCTGGGCGACGGAGTGAGACTCCAACTCAAAAAGAAAAGAAAAGAAATCTGAATGGGGATTCCAAGGCAACTAGGCAGAAAGTGATGGAACAGCACTTATCACAGGCAGATACACAATTACATGGAAGCAGTGACCTGGGGAGTGGGGGTGGAATTCAGGCCTGGGAGAGAGAACAGGAGCCAAGGGTGCTCAGTGGCATAGAGAATCTTGTCTTTGACCTAATTTTCTCCTCCTTTTTAAAAGAACTACTAAATTCAAAGGCCACCAATGTGCTTGTAATTCAAAAGGTTCACTTATCCTAATAACTAAGTACCATTGGCATCCAGATCCCTAAAACAGAGATGCCAGAATCAGAATTGTTTCCCCCCACATGGGTCACAGTGACCTTTAATCATCTTCAGCTTTCTGGTCTCCTAGAGCCCACCACTCAGCTCATCACTGTCTCTCCCACCAAAGACAAGTCTCTGGTCAAAATATCTCTCTGAAACTCTGAGTATCCACTAGACAAGCCTCTGTTTTTTTACCTTCTCTTCTTTTCTCTTTTAGGCATGAAGAAGTCAGTGGTTTATAGTTCACTAAAACTACACAAAATGTGGAAAGGGTGGCTGAGGAAAACACCCTGATTTTGCTTGCTATTGTATATATTATGTACAGATGAATAAAGTGTGTTGTCCCTTTTGACAGACCATGTTTGTTACTTTGACCCATCGCTTGAATTTGAAGATATCCTGGTTTGTGTAACACTTGATTTTTTAAATATATGCATGAGCCATTTACCCAGGTGGGACCCTAAAATATTGGAGGACTCAGCATCAGATGGAAGGAGTTTTCTCCATGTACAAAACCATGTGGGTACTGCAGAATAGCTTTACCTGTGGCCTGCATTCCATGGGTACATGAGAGTCAGAGACATGACAAGTTGTTGAATTCTTGTGAACATGCAGCCTGGGAGGCTTACAGATTGAGGAAGCTTGGCTTTCTCTGCCTGACTTGTCATATTGCTAGTCTCCATTCTGTTCATTCGCAAGTGTCACATCCATATTTTCCTGGATCTAGGCTTTTTACATTTCTCTTTATTCTCCGCAGAAGTATGTGGCAGAATGACTTGTGGGTGAGGAGCCAGCACCTTGCAGCACTTCCCGTTGTAATAGTTAGAACATGTTTGGGCAACAGGAAACACACCCCAGAGTGCCTTGAACAGCAAAGGACGGATCCATTTCCCGAGTTTCCTTCCATCTCTCTGCTCTCTGCCTTTGCAGCACTGGCATTATACTAAGGCTGGGTCCTCTCAGTGATGAGATCCCTGACAATAACTTCAAGGACCATACACTTCCCCATCCACATTTGGGGAGACTGAGAAGACTCCGTTCAGAAATCCTCTCAGGAAAGCAAGAAAATATCCAGGTGTAGTGGCTCACACCTATAATCCCAGCATTTTGGGAGGCAGAGGTGAGAGAGTTGCCTGAGCCCCAGGGTTCAAGACCAACCTGGTCAACTTGGCGAGACCTCATCTCTATAATAAATCGCAAGATTAGCTGGGCGTGGTGGCACGCACCTATGGAAAGCTGAGGTGGAAGGATCATCAGAGCCTGCAGATTGAGGCTGTGGTGACTGTGAGCGTGCCACTGCACTCCAGCCTGGATGACAGAGTGAGACTTCGACACCCCCCTCCCCCAAAAAAAAAAGCTGGCAATCTTTCCAACAGCCCCTAGCAGGCTTCTATCTGGTTTCATGGAACTGGGCTGATGAGCTCAGGCCTGAGCCATCTGCCCAGCCCTGCGAGGCAGCTTCCTTCCCCTGGGGCTCCAAGGCTGCGGAGAATGCCTGAACAGAAATTGAGGAGGAAGGGCTGTTGGGAAGCAGCCGTCCCTTCCACCTCCCAAGTCTCACTAGTCTGTTCAGTCGAACCTTAGCTTGTCTCTTTTTCAAATTGTCTCTGCCTCTATGTTTCCATTGCTCAGTACTCTACTGCAGACTTTTAGGATCTCTTCTGTATTTGAACAGTGTCTTTCTCCTTAATCCATATTAGAAGCCTCATAAATCAGGGAAAAGAGCACAGACTTAGGATTTGACCACCCTGAGTTGAATCTCATTGCCACTCCTGACCAGCTGTGTGACTTTGGGCTATTTAGTCTCTTTGAACAGTTTCACCATCTGTGAAATAGAGGTAAATAACATTACAAACCTTGAGCTGTGCTGGTCTGTGCACTAACGTCTGTGAAGCACTTAGGACAATGTCTGGTATATGGCGTTCATAAATACCACTGCCATTATTCCTTTGTGATATATATATATGTATATATATTGTTTTTTTGAGTCAGAGTTTCACTCTGTTACCCAGTCTGGAGTATAGTAGCATGCTCACGGCCACTGCAGCCTCGACCTGTTGGGTGATCCTTCTGCTTCAGCCTTTCAAGTAGTTGGAACCACAGGCATGTGCCACCATGTCTAGCTAATTTTTGTATTTATTGTAGGGACAAGGTCTCTCCATGTTGCTCAGGCAATCTTCTCGCCTCTACCTCCCAAAGTGCTGGGATTACAGGTATGAGCCACTGCACCTGGATATTATTTTCTTCTATAAATGTTTTTGTCTGTCTGTGTCAGGTTCTTCCTCAAGAAGCCAAAATGATTCCCCACTGCTTATAGAATAAAAGTAAGAATTTCTCATCAGTCTACTCAAAACCTTCTGAAACCTGACTTTATTTTATTTTAACTTCTGCCCCCTGTATCTGGTAGAGCTTTTTATGTCCCCAAAATAGATGCTTTACAAAGTAGATACTCGGAGCACAGAATGTCCAGGTCATTTTCCAGATGTGAAGCCTGAGGCCTCTGGAGAGGAAGCGGCTGCCTGGGGTCATTACATATGTAACATAGCTAGGACTTGAACCCAGATCTCCATACTCCAATCTAGTGCCTTTTCCCACACACCCTGCAACTTTCACAAATGGTGAACTTGTGTCTTTGTGTTCTGCTCATGTGTTCTGCTCATCCTAGATGTATTCTTTTTTTTTTTTTTTTTGAGTTGTAGTCTCACTCTGTCACCCAGACTGGAGTGCAGTGGCCGCTCCTGGCCACCGCAGCCTCGACCCGCTGGCCTCCGGCGATCCTTCCGCCTCAGCCTTCCAAGTAGCTGGAAGTACAGGTGCGCGCTACCACGCCTGTCTAATTTTTTGGTTATTGTAGAGATGAGGTCTCGCCAAGTTGCCCAGGCGGGTCTTGAACCCGCGGGCTCAGGCAATCCACTCACCTTAGCCCCCCAAAGCGCTGGGATTACAGGCTGAGCCACCGAGCCCAGACCTAGATGTATTCTTACCTTCTTTTTCTTCAATCTAATTTGGGATTCATCAAATGAGTATATAAGGATGAGAGGTGAGACTTCCCCTGGGGAAAGTGGGACTCTGGCAGAAAATAGCTCTTCTCATCTCAGAAGATCCAAGAAATAAATGTATTTTGGCACCAGAACTAGATCCCAGCTCCTTCCAGCTGTATCCCTGGGCAAGTTGTTTAACCCTTCTGAGCCTCAGTTTTTAGTCCATAGTGTGAATATACTCATACCCGTCTGTCAGCGTTAGTGTTAGAGTTAAATAGATAACATGTGAAGTACCTAGCAATGGCTCTTGATACATAATGATAGTTTATATTTCTGTAAATATCTTTGCTGTTGAGTTCAGATGGGAAGGTTGGCTAGCATGGGCTAGTCCCTCATGTATCAGTCGGAGGCTCCTTAGGAAGACTGAAACAGCCCAAGTATGTCAAGTAAAAGGGACTCAATATAGGGAATCTGTTCCGAAGATGTGAAAGAGCTGGCAGACAAAAGAGAAAGGGGGCGCTAGAGGAGAAGGAAGGGATGCCGTACACAGAGCAGGAAGCTGCTGACATCCTTGGGCTGGAACCTGCAAACCTGCACTTGCTGCTGAGTTGCTGGAGATGCTGCCTGTGGTGGTTTCAAAATGTGTTCGCAAATTCTTTGGCCCTCCTTCTAGCAGTAGGTGGAGTCTCGTTTTCCTTCCTTGAATATGGGCTGCCCTTAGTGGCTTGCTTCTCACATGCAATACAGCAGATGAGATGTTCTGTGACGTCCAAGGCTAGGTCCTAAAAAGGGATACAACCTCCACCTGGCGCGCTCTCCAGACGCTCGCTCTTGGAACCCAGCTGCCATGTTGTGAGAATGCACAGGCCACTGAGGCCATGTAAAAGCTGACATCCAGCATCAACTGCGACAAGTGAGTGAGCAAGTCTTTGCGGTAACTCCAGGCCAGCCACTGACTGCAACAGCACAAGAGAGCCCTAGGGAACCTGCCTTGTTGAGCCTAGTCA